TTAGAACAAAAAAAACTTCTTTTTCAAATTTTAATAATATCTTACAATTGAAATTTATAAATTTGAAATTACTAAAATTAAAATAAACTACTATTGTAGAAATTAAGAAAAGTATTTATATTTATGTCTGACTATATTTAGTTTTTACTACTGAAAAAATTATTTAATTTTCAACATTAATAAAATTGGAATTATGAAAAGTGATACTACTTTTGTAAAAATTTTAAAAAAATATAGTAATATTTATGTCTGACTATATTTGGGTTTTTCTATTTCGTACAAAAAATACCTTTTTCCAATATTTAATAATATCTTACAAAATTGAAATTTTTAAAATTAGAACAAACTACTTTCGTGCAATTAAGGAAATCATTAACAATTATGTCTGACTAAAGCTGGTTTTTACTACTTAGAACCAAATTATCTATTATTTTAACATTATTAAAATTATTAAAATAAACTAATTTGGAAATACTAAAAAATAGTAATATTTATGTCTGACTAAACTTGATTTTTACTACTTAGAACAAAAAGCTTCTTTTTCAATATTAATAATAGCTTCTAATTAAAATTAATTAATTTGAAATTATTAAAATTGAAATAAATAAACTACTTTCGTAAAATTAAGGAAAACATTAATATTTATGTCTGACTAAACCTGGTTTTTTGTACTTAGAACAAGATTATCTGCTTTTTTAACAATACAGATAATATTACTATTTGAACGGAGTAAAAAATGAAAAACAAATAAGTAGTAAATGTCACTTTTAATCAGACATAAAAAATACCATTTTTAAAAGTAAGTCAGCCTCAAGTATAAAAAAAGAACTTTCAATCAGACAAAGACACTTAAAATCAAAAACACGAAAAAATCAAACCTCTAATCAGAAAACACAAAATAAAATCACAAAACTCAATTATACTTTTTCTTCATAAGATTAAACTTTAATTTTTTTTATACATTTCTCATCGAAATGAAAAAGTACAGATTTTTTTTTTTTTTTTTCTTATTTATAAATCTAATAAGACATAATCAGTGATTGAGATTGCAGTAGATGACACGTGCAGAGAGACACATTGCTTGCTGGTATAGGGAAATAAAGGGGGGGTAGTGGGGAGGGGGGTATATTTTAGAAATATTAGAGAGGGGGAAGAGGGTGGCTGCTCCTGCCCGGAGGAAGGACGAGTGAGAGATTAATTTACGGTAAAAGATAACGAAGAGCAGTTTCTGTCCTCCCTCCCTCCCTCCCCCCTCGCGCTGCCCCCTTTTCTGACACCCTCTCTCGCCACGCGATTCGATTGTGTCTCACTCTTATAATAAATGTATTTTCCGCTACTCGCTACTCGCTTTTACCAACCCTCGCTTTTGTAAAATATATCTATTGTTGTTCTTGCAATTAGTCATTTGACAAAAGCACTATGTCGTAAAGAATGAGAGAAATCTATGCCTCGGCGTTATATTTTCTTAATTATTACTCATTTTCCATATTCTTATTTTATCGATGTTTATAAAATATGTATATATATATATATATATATATATATATATATATATATATACTCTCTAAATTTGAATCAGCGATAAGTATGCCACTATTTCAATTAGCGTATATGCGCTGTGAATTAGTGAAATTTCACTAAATAATCAGTGAAACTTCACTGATTAATTAGCGCATATACGCTGTTTTAAAATAGTGGCATACTTATCGCTGAGAATCAGTGAAATTTCGCTGATTCAGATTTAGAGAGTAAATATTGAAAAAATTGTTTACAAAAATTAAAGACATTCTTAGACTTTGCACTTGATAATTAATTTTAAAAAAGTAGCAAAAAGTAGCTTTCGAAGTAAAAAAAAGTGTTAAAAAAGCGGCTATCAAAAAATTAAGCTTGACGACCAAAAAAACTCGTTTTAGAAACTTCACAAAACTGACAAAAATTCCATTCTATATTTAATTTTCCCGACTTTTTCCTAATTTTCATCAAAAATATTTACTTCTTTCTTATCCTGCTAATAAATTGAATTCCTGCAACGAATTTTATTATATTCAAGAATAAATTTTAAATATTTATTTTTTATTTATTATTATTATTATTATTTTATTTTTTTTTTTTATTTTATAAAAATTTTCAAATAATTGATTTCTTTCGACTAATTTTATACAAATTCTAATTTAAATAATTCAATTCCTGAGAAATTTTTATTATTTATAAAAAGTGTTGAATTCTTTAAAATTCTTTTTTAAAAAAATGTTAAATAATTGAATTCTGTTTGGAAATTTTATGAAAATAGTAGATATTGAAAATCATTGAATTACGAAAATTATTTAAAAATAATTAAATTTTACAAAGAATACTAGTGAAATTTTTGAGAATATTGGATGTCTGTGTGGCATTTTATAAAAATTTTTTTTAAAAATAATTGAATTCCTGTGAAAAATTATAATATTTTTGAAAATAATTGAATTCCTTCAAAGAATTTTAAAAAAACATTTTTTTAAATAATTGATTTTTTTCGAGATATTGAAATTAAATTTTTAAAAATAATTACATTTTTTGAGCAATTTCTGTAAATTATATTAAAAATAATTGAAATCCTGCAATGAATTTTAATAATTGAATTCTTGGGAAGAATTTTATAAAAATCTAAAAAAAATAATTGAATCATTTAAAAAATACTTCATTAAAATTGTATTTAAAATAATTGATTTCTTTCAATCACTTTTATTAAAATATTTGAAAATAATTGAATTCTTGTGAAAAATTATAATATTTTTGAAAACAATTGAATTCCTTCAAAGAATTTTAAAAAAACATTTTTTTCAATAATTGATTTTTTCGAGAAATTGAAATTAAATTTTTAAGAATAATTACATTTTTGAGCAATTCCTCTAAAATTTTATTTAAAATAATTTAAATCTTGCTATGAATTTTATTATTTATGTAAATAATTGAATAGTTGCAAAGAATTTTATTGAAATTTTCAAAAATAATTGAATTTCCGAGAATTGAACTTCCGTGAAATATTTGTTATTTTGAAAATAATTGAATTCTTCAGAAGAATTTTATTAACATTATTTTAAGTAATTAATTATTTCTAAATATAATAAATATTATAGAAAGTTTTAAATAATAATTTTTTAAATAATAATTTTTGATGAAAATTTTCTAAGTAATTGAATTTTATGCAGAATTCAATTACTTTCAATAATTGTAATAAACTTCCTTGCAATTATAAATTATAAAAATCTTTGTAAAAAATTTCAATTATTTTTATATAAATAATAAAATTGTTATCAGACTTTTACTTATTTTGAATTCCATTTTCAAATGATTTCTTCGAAAATTTCAATTATATCAATAAATAATAATTTTTTTTAGGAATTCAATTATTTTAAATACAATTTTCATAAAATTCTTTTGAAAAATTTCCTTTTTTTAAAAATTTTACAAAAAATCAATTATTTGCAGAATTAATAAATTTTTTTTGGCATGAATTCAATTATTTTAAATAGTTTTAATATAACAATGAATAATGAACTTTTTTAAAATAATTTCTACTAATCATTTTGAAAATAATTGAATTTCTCAGAAAAATTTTATTATTTACAAAAATAATTGATTTCTTGCCAAGAATTTTTTATCATAATTGTTGAAAATAATTGAATTTAAATAATATTATTAAAAATAATTGTATTCTTTCGAAAAATTTTATTAAAATTGTATTGAAAATAATTGAATTCCTCCGGAACATTTCATTATTTATGAAAATAATTGAATTCCTTTGAAGGATTTTATTATTTATAAAAAAATTTTTAATTCTTTTTTAAGAAAAAATGCTCTTTTTAACCAAAAAAAGCACTAATTTGATAATCGACTCCAAAAAGTCCTAATTTGACAATAAACTCCAATAATTCTATATTTTTTCCCCATTTCTTAAAATACACATATTTTATAAATACATACATATTTTTATACATTTACAAAGACGATTTCTTCACCAACATTTTCTCTGAACTGATTTTTTCTGAGATTCGACTGTAATTTAATAGCCCAAGCGTGGTTATATTTTACAACAGCATCAATCGTTTTACGTAATCACATGTCTTTTCGATTGACATTTTCAAAAAAACGAAAAAAAAAATTTATTTCCTCTGATTTTTTTATCAAACAAAATTGCTTTAGTATAAATTATAAAATTAAGACAGAAAAAAAGAAAGATCGAAAAGAGTTGATTTTCTAATCGGAGATTAATGATAATTTCAAAACATAATTTATAAGATGTTTTTTAAACTGAGACTTAGTTTGAATTACAAAGCATAAATCAAAGTGATGCATTTATTTGTGGATACTATATGGCACCTGTCATTGTAGTTTAGATTTTTTTTTCATCCACATACAATATTTCTCTTGAGAGAATTACAAAAAAAGTATACTTTAATATTAATGATCATAATATAATATGTTAAATTATTTATTTGTTTACAAAAAAAGTAAAAAAAAAATGTTTAAAAAAAAATAGTGCCATACACCTGTAAATAATTTTCAATTTTTATTTTTATTTAAAAGATCCTATATATATATAATCTTGAAATAGAGACATGAGTAACGACTTTTTAGTCATAAAAAGACAAAAATATATATGTATAATACAATTTCTGAAACTGACTTTTACTACTATTATCAAAAACCGCAAGGCATTAGGGGTAAAATTTATGTTTATCACTGGATTTTTCTTGCCAATATTATACAAAAATTGGATATTTAAAAAAAATATTTCTATTCTTCGCGTGTCAGTTTTTATACTAAAATATTAAAATTCGAATATTTTTTTGTAACTGATTTTTTCTACCCCGTTTTGTACAATTAAAATTAAAACATTTTAAAATATTGCTAACTAATTATAATGATAAAAATAATACCTAACGATAATTGCAAAATTATTTATAATCGAAAAGGCGATTTTTTTTTAATCACGTTGATACTTAAATACATAAATAATAGCCCTGACTATCTAACTTTAAATATCTATGTTAGTAAAAGTGACTCACCGATCGCTGATTTCGTTGCTGAAACAAAAAATAATTTCTACAATTAGTAAATAAATTAAATTTTTTATAAATTATATTATATAAATTATTTTTACAAATCTTTCAAAAATTGTTTTTGAATAGTTAAAATTTTGTAAAATTTAATTAAAAATAATTTATTTCAAGTATTTTGTTACAATTTTTGAAAATCAACTTTTCAAGAATTTTAATTGCAAATTTTGAAAATAAATTAAATTTTCAAAAATTTTAATAAAAAATCTAGGTAAATTTAAAAATGAAAATTAGCTTCTATTTTTTTAAAATTCAATAGTTTTAATATTTTCAATGACATATTTCTAAAAATAATAACATTTTGGAATTATTTTTAACACTTTGGAGAAAAGAATAATGTTCGAAATTTTTAATTAAAATTCATCAAAAAATTCATTAGTTATTCATAAATTCATTTTTTAAATTATACAAAAATTCTTTTAAGAAATACATAATTATTTTCGAAAAATTATAATAAAATATAATTTAACAACTAATTATTAGAATTGTTTTGTGATAATTTTTTAATATTTGAAATTTACTTTTTGGACTTATTAAAATTTTTGAGAAATCATGGTCCTGTTTATAATTAAGATTCTTCAAAAATCATTTTTTATTTATACTTTTGAAAAATTCAATTATTTTCAAAAGATTTTACCAAATAATTGTTTGGAAATTTTTCAGAAATGAAAAAACTATTATCGTTCAAAAATTATTTTAGAATATTTTTAAAAAATTAATTGTAAGAATTTCTTTATTATAATTTTTTGAAAACGTTATACCTTAATAACTTGAGAAAAAAATATGGAGTTACAATTATTATAAAAAATTGAGTTTCTGTATTTAAATAATTGAATTCTAGAAGAACTTTTGGAAAATTAAATTAATTGATTCAGAGATTTTAGTTAAAAATTGTAGAAAATAATTTAATTCAGGAAGATAATTGTAATTTTTAGAAATTATTAAAATTCATAAATTTTTCTCATTTTCCGTATAAACATTAATATTTTCCTGTAAAAAGAATTCTGTCAGGGAAAGTAATTTTAATGACAGTAAATTGTCAGGGAGATAAACTGAAACTTGTGACCACTCTGAGTAATAAATCAACGATCGATTATTGACAAAAGTCAAATTGCTTTTGAGAAAACGATATCTTTAGATCGGAGACAATATTCCAAAGAGGTGATCGTTAACCAGTTGGCCAACGACACCCGGAAGGTATGAGCCACGCAAAGATACGTCTGTGATCTGGTCCAATTTATCACTAATGCGCGACGCCCACTGAAAGAGTGAGACAGAGAGAGAAAGAGAAACTCTTCCTTTCTTCGTTTCCCCCCCCCCCATTTTACTCCCCCATTCTCGCGACTCGTTTGCATATCTCTAATGTCTTCGCTCCGAAAGTTGAAAATAGCGCTCTCCAAACATCGTACAGAAATTTTTCTCTTGTAAAAACTATAATGTCATTTCGAACCTGTCGATCGTTGAATTAAAAAAAAAAATTAAAAATGAATTCTAATTCAATAGTGTCTCGTCATGTTCTTAATTAATCTTCTTCTACTTTATGGCAACAGTAAAATTTATTCTATTTTTTACCCCACAAAATAATTTATTTAACCGTCTGGGAGAATTGACAAAATTTTAAAAATAATCAGACACATTACCAGATTCAAGTCAGGGGATGGGTGGGGGGTTAATTTTTCCTCTTTTATCCCTGCTTTATTTTTAAGCGAATGATCTTAAATTTAAGCATTATACCACACTTGTTATAAATTAAATTACAATCATATAAATTTTGTCTTCATCAAATTTTTAAATCATTTTCCCCGATAAACGTTTTTCTATTTCGAGAAATCTTTGGGAAATTAAATAAAAACTTAAAAACTAAAGAATCTCTTTTAAACCATCGAAACTGTTTATATTTTCAAAAATTTTAATAAAATTTCACGAGAGAATTCAATTACTTTTTCTAAAATTTTAATAAATCCTTTTAAACAATTCAATTATTTTCTTAAATAGTAAAATCTTTACAAGAATTCAATGATTTTTAAAACAATTTTAATTGAATACCTCCGAAGAATTCAATTTTTTAAAAAAATTTCAACACATTTCGAAAAAATTCAATTGTTTTTATAAAATTTTAATAAATCCTTCGAAAAAATTCTTCTTTGCAGGATTCCAATAATTTTCAAAAGAATTTTAATTCAATTCCTCAGATGAATTCAAATATTTTTAAATATTTCCATAAATTTCAATTATTTCCCAGAAAATTTTAATAAATTCAACTATTTTTATAAATACTAAAATTCTTTGGCAGGAATTAAATAATTTTTAATCAAATTTAAATAAAATTACACAAATGAATTTAATTATTTTCAAAAATTTCCGTAAAATTTAATTTCAACAAGAATTTAAAATTCTCTGAAAATAATTCAATTATATTCAAAGTATTTTTAAAAAATTCTATATAAAAATTAAATTACTTTCAATGCAATTTTAAAATATATTCGTCAAAAAAAAAAAAATTGAAAGAATTCAATTATTTTCAAAAAATAATAAAATTCTTGTGATGAATTCAATTATTTTGAATATACTTAATTTTCATAAAATTTTTTTAAAGAAATTCCATTATTTTCGAAACAACTTTAATTAAATTTCTCGAAAAAATTCTGCGATAAGTTGTGTTATTTATGATAATAATTGAATTTTTGCAACAAATTTTATTTAAATTTTTTTTAAAGAATTAAATTCCAGAGAAAAATATTATTATTTATGAAAGCAAGTAATTTTCTGTGTAGAATTTTATTCAAATTTTTTTAAATAATTGCATTTTTAAAAGAATTTTATTTAAATTTTTCGAAATAATTGAATTGGTGTGACGAAATTTATAAAAAATTCCTTGAAAGAATTAAAGTTTTCAAATATTAACATAAAATTAATTTATTTTCTAAAATTTTAATAAATTCTTCGGAACAATTCAATTATTTTTATAATTAGTAAAATTCTTCACAAAAATTCAATTATTTTCAAAACAATAATTTTAATAAAATTCTTCTTCATAAAATTTACTTGCTTTCGAAATTTTCAATTAAAATTATTAAAGAAACTCCATTAGTTTAAAAAAAAAATTCAAAGAAATTCGTCAAAGAAATTTAATTTTCATCATTTTAATTCAATTATTATTTTCTAGAATTTTAAATTATTTTTTATGAAAATAATTGAATTCCTGTGAAATTTTTATTATTTATGAAAATAATTAAATGTTATAAAATTTTATTTAAATTGCATACAATTTATTTTAAATAATTGAATTCTTTTTGAGAAATTTTATTAAAATAGTAGATATTGAAAATAATTGAAATTATAAAAATTTTTGGAAAATAATTGAAATTAAGACAATAATTTTTTTTCACATTTATGAAAATAATTGAACTTTAGAGAAGAATTTTGTTATTTTTATAAATTTGGGATATTTACGAGAATATTTTTCAAATTTTGAACTTAGTTGAATTTTATAAGAAGAATTTTATTTATTTATTTTTTTTTTGAAAATAATTGAATTTTTTCGAATTATTTACGTAATTTTTTCAAAATTGAATTTTTTTAGTGTTCTCAAGAAAAATGTAAATTGGAACATTTTTAAATTCTATTATTTTTAAAATTGCTAATTTTATTTTAAAAAGACAGTAAGAAGTTAGTCGCGTTAACTTATTTTCATCATTTTAATTCAATTATTATTTTCTAGAATTTAAAATTATTTTTTATTAAAATAATTGAATTCCTTAAAAAATTTTTGTTGTTTATAAAAATAATAATTGAATTCCTGTGAAATTTTTATTATTTATAAAAATAATTAAATGTTTGCACTTTGCATACAATTTTATTAAAATGTTGTTTAAATAATTGAATTCCTTTTGGGAAATTTTATTAAAATAGTAGATATTGAAAATCATTGAAATTAGAAATTTTTTTTTGAAAATAATTGAAATTAGGACAAGAATTTTTTTGAAATTTATGAAAATAATTAAACTTTGGAGAAGAATTTTGTTATTCATAAAGATAATTGGGATTTTTACGAGAATTTTTTTCAAATTTTGTACATAGTTGAATTTTATAAGAATTTTCTTTTTTTTTCGAAAATAATTGAATTTCTGCAATTATTTGTTATTTCTCCAAAACTGAATTTTCAAAATTTAAATTTTTGTTGAAAACATTCGACAAAAATTTAAATTGGAAAATTTTTAAATTCTATAATTTTTAAAATTGCTAACATTACTTTAAAAAGGCAGTAAGAAGTTAGCCTAGAATTGTTGCTAGTTTCTATAAAATGAATTTCAATGAAATCAATTATAATTCATTCTATTAATTGATACTTATTCTCAGTATGAATTTTATACAATTTAAACTTTAGAGAAGTGGAGAATTGTAAGTACTCAATTAACTTCAAAATGAAGTTAAACTCAAGTGAAGTTACACTGATGGTTCTCATTAATTATACCGCAGATCGAAAAAGACTCAAGCCCGAGACTTTATTCCTAGAAAGCCAATTAAATGACGTCGTATATATCTTCAAGTTGTACATCTGCAAACTAAGCCTGAAGAGTAGACTTTGTAGTGAACAAGTGAATAAGTAAATGATTTGAATCTAATGGTCCATATATATGTATATAAATATATATGTATATTAGGCCTAATGTGTATATATATATATACAAACACGGTATCAAAATGGCAGGTTAAAGAGGTAAAAAGACGTTTGCAATATAACTATAGAAAGTTTAAGGCATTCCAGGAATAGGCTATGTCACAAGCAGTGCCAATGCAGCCACTAACCTATAACTTATTTCACGTATCGTTTGACGTGATGCATTCGATCCAATAATATCTAGCGAGAGCGAGTTTATATATCCAACGAAAATTCATAACTACTCACACGCTCCTCTCTTATAAGAACGATTCGATTTACTCGATTAAATATCATCCGAAAGCAA